CGAAAAATACTTAGAAATAGACCGTGACAGAGATTAAAAACAAGATTAAATCCTAAATGTTAAACATGATCACGAACGAGAACGGAAAAAAAGATTGAGAAATAGTCCGTGACCGAGATTACAAACAAGATTGGGAATGAAATCGGGAACGAGATCAAGAACTAGAATTGCGACATTACGAAAAAATAGACCGTGACCGAGATTAGGAACAGATTGGGAACGATATCAAGAGTGTGATCTGGAACGAGAACGGCAACTATACTATAAAATAGACCGAGACTGAGATTAAAAACAAGATTGGGATCTAAATCGAAGGCAAGTTCTGGAAAGTTGAAGGGAATAAGACAGAGAAATAGACCGAGACCGAGATTACGCATAAGATTGAGAATGAAATAGAGAACTAAATCAAGAACGTCATCTGGAACATGACTGAGAAATAGACAGTGATCAAGATTAAGAACAAGATTAAATCCTAAATGGTGAACATGATCAAGAACGAGAACGAAAACAATCTGAGATGTTGACCTAGACCGAGATTAAAAAGAAGATCGAAATCGAGAACGATAAATTTAACGAGAACAGGTTCAGACTGAGAACTAGTCTGTGACTAGGATCAAGAACAAGATCTTATACGAAATCGAGAGAATGCTTAATAACGAGAACGGGAACAAGACTGATATATAGACAATGACCGAGATTAAAACCAAGATTGAGGATGAAATCGAGAGTGATAACGTGAACGAAAAAAAGGTGCAGGCAGATAAATAGTCTATGACTAAGATTAAGAAAAGGATTCAATATGAAATTGAGAGCAAGATCGGGAACGATAAAAGTAACAAAATGATAGATAGACCGTGACTTAGTATAAGAACAAGATTAAACGAGAAATCGAGAGCATGATCAAGGACGAGAACAGAAAAAATACTGAGATATACACCGAAAGCGAGAATAAAAAGAAGATTGAGGATGAATTCAAGAACGAGATCATGAACAAGAACGGGAACAAGCTAAAATATAGACCGAGCCCGAGAGTAAAACGAAGATCGAGGATGAAATCGAGAGCGAGAGCGAGAAGGAGGACAGGAGCAAGATTGAAATATAGACCGAGATCGAGGTAAAGTATAAGCTTGAGAATGAAATGTAGAAAGAGATCAAGAACGAGAACATGAACGAGCTGAGATATTGACCGAGACGAAGATTTAAATGAAGATCGAGGATGAAATCGAGAAAGAGAGAGAGAGAGAGAGAATGAGAACAGGAGCAAGATTGAAATATAGACCGAGATCGAGAAATAGTATACGATTGACAATTAAATCTTGGGCGAGATCACGAACGAGATAGGAAAAAAGACTTAGGTATAGACCGTGACACAGATTAAGAACAAGATTGATTCCTAAATGTTGAGCATGATCAAGAACAAGAAAAGGAAGAAACTGAGATATAGACCAAGACCGAGATTAAAAGGAAGTTCAAGGATGAAATTGAGAGCGAGAGCGAGAACGAAAACAGGAGCAAGATTGAAATATAGACCGAGTTCCGGATAAAGTATTAGCTTGAGAATGTAATTAAGAACGAGATCAAGAACGAGAACGGGAACAAGACTGAGATATAGACCGTAAAAGAGATTAAGAACAACATTGAATCTTAAATGGAGAGCATGATCAAGAATAAGAAATAGAACAAGCTGGGATTTAGACCGAGACCGAGATCAAAAAGAAGATCGAGGATAAATCGAGAGTGAAGGACAAAAAAGAGAACGGGAAAAAGACTGATACATAGTCCGTGATCGAGATTAAGAACAAGATTGAACACGAAAACGAGAGCATGATCAAGAACAAGAACGGAAACTAGCTGATAAATAGACCGAGACCGAGATTAAAAAGAAGATCGAGGATGAAACCGTAAGTGAGAGCGAGAACAAGAACAGGACTAAGATTGAAATATAGACCTAGATCGAGATAAAGTATGAACTTTAGAATGAAATCTAGAACGAGATTAATATCTAGAAAGGGAAAAAGACAGAGATTATGAACAAGATTGAATCCTAAATGTTGAGCATGATCACGAACGAGAACAGGAGCACGCATAGATTTAGACCGAGACTAAGATAAAAAATAAGATCGTGGATAAATCGAGAGTGAAAGCCAGAACGAGAACTTGAAAAGGACTGAGAAATAAACCGTGAACGATATCAAGAACAAGATTGGACACGATATCGAGAGCATGATCAAGAACGAGATCGGAAACAAGACTGAAATATAGACCAAAACCGAGATCAAAAACAAGATCAAGGATGAAATCGAGAGTGATAGCGAGAACGAGAACAGGTGCAGGCAGATAAATAGTCTGTGACCGAGATTGAGAACTAGGTTCTATACGAAATCGAGAGCGCCAACCAAATGAGAAATAAACCGTGACTGAGTATAAGGACAGGATTGAACGAGAAATCTTGCGCATGATTAAGAACGTGAATGGAAACAAGATTGATATATATTACCGAAACCGATATTAAAAAGAAGATCGAGAATTAAATCGAGAGCGATAGCGAGTACGAGAACAGGTTTAAGACTGTAATATACACCGACACCGAGATAAATTATAAGATTGGGAACTAAATCGAGAACGAGATCAAGGACGAGATCGGGAACAATACTAAGAAATTGACCGTGACTGAAATTAAGCATAAGAATGAGAATGAAATTGGGAACGAGATCAAGCACGAGAACTGGAACATAACTGAGAAATAGACAGTGATCGAGATTAAGATCAGATTGGAAACAAAATCGAGAGCGTGATTGGGAACGAGGACAGTAACTAGACTAAGAAATATACCGAGACTGAGATTAGGAATAAGGTTGAGAATGAAAACGAGAGCGATTTTGGAAACGTTGACGAGAATTAGACTGAAAAATAGACC